GCAGTGACTCATCAGTGGAATCTCAGGTAGGGAGCATCCCCCCATAATGCATTGCAGAAGCCCCTGGTTTCTCCTGCTCCCCGTGTGGCGAGGCAGTGTGGCCTGTTGGATAGGGCCCTGGATTAGGCATTAGGAGACCTGGGTTCTAGTCCTGGCTTTGCCCCTGACCTGCTGGGTGGCCTTGGTCAAGTCACTTCCCTTGGCTGGGGCTCCATTCCCACTCCCACCCCTTGTCTGTTTAGCCTGTGAGCTCTTCAGGCCAGGCACTGCCTGGTGCTATGGGTCTGCCGACCCAGCCCATGGTGCCAGAGAGCCTCCCAGCTTAGGCTGCTGGCCTGGGGCTCATGCTATAATTAGCTGTGCAGATGAGGCTCTGCAGCATGAGGGGATGGAGGGCTTCACAGCTTGAGCTCCAGCCGGAGCTGTGACTTCAAAGTGCTGTGTACACAGCTAGCCGGAGAGCCACAAGCCCGAGTCTGTCGGCCCAGGTGGGAGGCTCGCGGGCGGTGTACGCATGCCCGATCTGTCTGTGCATCAACTAGCTCCAATCTTGGTTGGGGCTAGTGCAGCAGCGAAGACTGTGTTCAGCTTATTTCACCTTGATTTTCCCTGTCCACCCTCAGCTATCAAGAGTCTCAGATTCTCCAGTAGTCTGAATTATCCATCAGTTGACTGTGATGCATCCTAGGGTAGCACCTAGGGGACCCAAACTGAGATCAGGGCCCTTCATGCCTGGTTCTGCACTGACACAAGTGAGAGACAGTCCCTGCCCCAAAGAGCTCATAGTCTGAATAGACAAAAGACTGGAGGGGAAACTGAGGCACAGAGAGGGGAGGTGACTGGCCCAAGGTCTCCTAGCAGGACAGTAGCAGAGAAGGGAATAGAAGCCAGGTCTTCTGGATCCTAATCCAGTGCCCGACCCAGTAGACCACACTGCCTGTCTTCCATAAGCACCTTCTCGCATGTAGCTCAGTGGGGCCGTGAAATGCTACTGTCGTACTACTAATTACTTACATACCATAATGGGGCTCTGATCTCATCTGGGGGGCTCTAGGTGCGTGTGCATTGTTCATAGTATTATGGTGGCACCTAAAGTCCCCAGCTGAGATCAGGGCCCCATTTTGGCATGAGCATTATTAGTCATATTAAGGTAGCCACAGTAGGGTCCTGATCTCAGGTGGGGCCTCTAGGCACACATAATAAGCTGCTCCCCCCCCACCCCCCAGGTGGATAAGTATCATCCCCATTTCACAGAGAGGTGAAAGTGACTTGCCCAAGGCCAGACAATCAGTGGCAGAGCTGGAATCACAGCCCACGGCAAAGTGGATGAATACAAGCCATGAACAAATTCCCTCCCCATCCCATTTCCAGCCGCACACACCACTCGCCCCTGATTGCAGGAGGAAGTGCTAATTGCAACTTAGTCCCAAGTTAAAAGGCTAGTGGGTGATGATTTTAGCTCATGCTGCTCCAGCCTGGGCCCTTCTGCTTTGATTAGCAGCATGAGTGCTGACAGCTCCCGTCAGCCCGGCGAGCCAGTGCAGCCACCAATATCAGAAGCCGGCAGGGAAAGCTGAGTACATCTTCCAAGATCAGACCAGACAAATGACAACGTCCCTTGTTATGGTAGCTGAGCCCCATGTGGGCGTGAGCCACCCTCCGCTGGGCCTGGGCTCTCTCCCTTTTCGGAGGCCTGGGCTCTGGGAGGTCAGAGGGGTCAGGCTTGATGAGGACTCACTGTCTGCTCACACCTTACCTGCCCAGCAGGGCAAGAACCAGCTGTTTCCTCCTCCAGAGACAGGCAGTACCCCGCTGAAATACAGATGAGTGTCTCTTTCCAGTACTGGGCCCTTCCCCAGGTGCGTTAGTCTCTGGCAGGAGTTCAGCCAAATGGTTATTGACCGGGCCTGGGAGTCAGCATGCCCGAGTTTAATTTTAAGTATGGAAGGGTAATTAGAACAGATGGGCTGGCGAGTCAGGGGACTCGGGTTTCGCATCCCTGCTATAGGAGAGGAATGTGGTCAATGGTTAGATTGTGGGGTGGGGGAGGGCTGAGAATCAGAACTCCTGGGTTCTTTTTCCAGCTCTGGGAGGGTTCGTGGTTGGAGCAGGGGAGCTGGCTGTCAAGACTCAGGTGCTATCCCCAGCTCTGGGAAGGGAATGTGATCTAGCAATTAGAGCAGTAGACTGGGAGTCAGGACTTCTGGGTCCCATTCTCTGTGTGACCCAGAGGAAGTCACTCCACCTCTCTGTGCTTCAGTTTCTGCACCTGTAAAGGGGGTGGGGGGGATGATTATACAGACATATCACGGAGATGCTGGGCTGGGGAGAGGGCTGAAAGTTCGTAAAGCCCTCGGAGTGCCTCATCTGGAAGGGGCTATAGCAGTGATCTGTAGCATTACACACACCGGGTGCGGGGAGGCGGTGCTGAAACAGGGCCAGGCGAAGCAACTATTGAAACCAGGCTCGAGGGAGGTATAACCCTTCCCCGCTCTCCAGAGCTCAAACTGGGGGAGAACAGCGATACTCCGCCCCCAAACCATGCGCTCCCTTGTCCTGGGGCCCTAGTAGGTTGTGGAGAGCTTCTTAATAAGATCTTTCCTCCTCTTAAATGCATGCTTTGATTGGCAGTGAAATAGTTACTATAAACATAGCAATTGTCACCATTGCACTGCAGAGCTTACACACCCCAATGGGGCCGTTCACCGGCCTCGAAGCTTTTGCTTCAGGCTCTCTGCAGACTCCGGCAGACACGGCTGCACCAGGCACATTGAGAAGGTTTCCTTTGGAATCAGGAGGGCTGGAAATATATATATATATATATATATATATACGAATGGAAGCTGAAATTCAGGTGCAAAAGGCAAATCTCCTCCAGGGACCAGCCCTGGCTTGCTGAGCTGCTAAGAAACAGCCCTGTTTGACCCCCATACCGTGAAAGGGGGAAGGACTCATCCTCCAGCTGGTGTTTGTTCAGCTTCTACCCTGGAGCACAATGGCAAAATCCCCTGTGTAATCTCAGCTGCCCTTCGTATGCGGGATGCCTTGATGGAGGCAGCTGGCAGTGCCCAGCCCGGGGCTGAGTGCTGCCTGCCAGAATCCCGGCTTGTCCTAAGTATCAGGCGCACCCAGATCTAAGTGCAGACACACCCCTAGACAAAGGGAGCACATGAGGAGCCAGTGGTGGGCAGTTAGCATAAGCTCCCTGCCGCAGTTCCCAATAGGCTGGAGTCTGGGAGGGCACTTTGATTTCCTCAAACCGTCCCATGCTCACCCCGGCTAGCCAGGGAAATGAGAACTGCACACCCAGCGAGGGGTCTGGCAGCAGGGCTCCGCGCTCGAGAGGGGAAGGTCTGTCCATGCGGACCCCTCTCCTGAGGCTAATAGTCAGCCTTCCTCACTGGCTTGTTTGTCGCCTGATTAGGTGTATTATGGTAGCGGCCAGAGGGGCCCCCCCCAGCTGAGATCAGGGTCCCATTGTGCTGGGCCCTGTACTGACACAATCCCTGCCCCAAACAGCTTTCAGTCTAAACAGATTGGACAGACGCAGGACGGCTTGTTCTCTCCATTTACAGGTGGGAAACTGAGGCCCAGAGAGGGGAAGTGACCGGCCCTAGGTTGCCATGGGGGGGGGGCTGCAGCAGAGCGGGGAGCTTTAACTGGGTAATTTCTGCCTTTGGTCATGGATCAGGCTCTACAATTCTCTGAAGTCAATGGGAGTTCGACCTTGAGGAAGGATTGCTGCCAGGTCAGCTGGTGGATCAGGGTGCGATCCCTCACCAGCGCACCTATGCCAACAGAAGCCCCTAGTGTAGACCCAGATACGCCGCATGCCGTTACTGGTGTTGCTTGTTTTGCTTGGGGTAGGGGCTGGACTAAGCTATACTTAACCTATAAGTTATAAGTCTTATATATATATATATATATATATATATATATAAGTTAACGTGCTAAGCTGCGTCCACACTAGGAGCACTACAGTGGCGTAGCCCCACCAGCGAAATGCCCCTAGTGTAGACGTGGCCTTAACTGCTCTATGTCTGTTTCCCATCTGTACAATGGGGATAATAGCCCTGCCCTGCCTCCATGGGGCTGTGAAGATAAATCCATTCTCAGCTACTCCAGTGATGGGGGCCAGGTAAGGAACTTACACAGAATCCATGCAGCCGGGAGCTGCTAAAACCCTGTGTGTGTCTCTCCCTTGCCCGGCTAGCAAGGACAGTCTGAAATGTTCCTTAAAACCCCCCAAACAGAGCTTAAAGAGTGTACAACTGTTGATTTTTTTTAAGAGGGGAGGGAAAAATGCCCATCCTCCAGCCTGCCTCTCTTTAGCACACCCAGGCACCCAATCTAAACTGCAGGGGAAGGGCCCGTCCATGTGTAAAGTGTTGCCTTGGTTAGGAAATAATGGTCCAGTCCATCAGCTGTGAATCAGGGCTGCGGCACTGGGCCCGAAATGATGCAGTGTGTAAGTCAAAAAGGTTTAGGGCCTAGCAGGGCTCAGTGTAAATCCGCAGCGACTCTGTGCAAATCGTTGGGCCTGATTCTCATTTACACTAAGGCTGCTTGACACCAGTGGCAGCGTAAAGGGGCCTTGGCATAAATGAGAATCAGGCCCCAATGGTTGTGAAACTGGTTTGAGTGGGAGGCAAACTAGGCCCGATGGACTTCCACCGGTGTAAATCTGGAGTAACAAGGCAGCGCAGTCCGGCCCCAAATGCTCAGCCGTTCCCCTTCAGAAATGACCCTGTAAATCATGTGCTTGGCTTAGGGCAGTGAGAGCGTAAGGGTGCTGGGGGGAGGGTTGATGGGGGTTGAGGCTGCAAAAATCCATAAACGAAAGAAAAAACACCCCTGTTTTCCCTGCCGTGATGGTTTGGATCCGGGCTGCTTTGGCTTGGTTTTAAAACAAAATCCGTAACTGCAAAAGTCCAAACAAATGCTCGCAAGGGGGCGTTACGCACTGAGCACTAGAGTCTCAGCTGGAGTAAATCACTTACGCTGCCTTCCAGCTGCTGAGGATCTGTCTCCGTATAGGACTTCATTCTTTTGCAGTACAGCAGCTCCGTTGGCTCCAGCCAAGTTCAGGGCTCCATCATGCCAGGCGCTGCAGACACAGAGTAACTGAGATTGGGACCAGACAAGACCAGGTGCTGCACAGAGAAGGTCTCTGCCCCAGAGAGCTCACAAGCGGATTAGATAACACAGAGTTTATCATTTTACAGATGGGAAACTGAAAACCAGAGAGATGAAGTGACTCAGCCCAGCTCACCCAAGAGCTCTGCATCGGAACAAGGAACTCACCCCTGGTCTCCTGTCTCTTAGCCCAGGGCCTCCCGCCATGGCCATTTCCCCTAGCCAGACTCTTGTAGCACGAAACCTGCTACATAAACATCTGGTCCTTTTTGTTTTATTTTTCTTTTAACTTGTAAAATAAAATCAGCTTCTTTGGACAATGCTTCATTGATCCGTGTCCCTCAACTAGGTCATGGTTGGCATAACTTTCTAACCATTTCAATTAGGGTGACCAGACAGCAAGTGTGACAAATCGGGATGGGGGTGGGGGATAATAGGAGCCTATATAAGAAAAAGACCCAAAATTCGGGACTGTCCCTATAAAATTGGGACATCTGGTCACCCTAATTTCAATACTGAGGGAATTGGGGCAAAATCTGCCTTCCAATGCTGCTCCATGCACGTGGACCAGACACTGGGGCAGCCAAAAGGCTGCACCGGATTGTGCATCAGGAACCAGCAGCCATGGGGTTAAACATCCCCCTTCTTCGCTTTAGGGAACCTTTAGTTTCAGATCTCCTGGGCGGAGAGGGTAGAATTGGTAGATTTCCACCCACCCATGCCAGCTATCCTCCGGCTCACCCGTCCCCAATGTAGGCAGATGGAGAGGAAAAGAAAGAAAACAGGAAGAGGTGGAGAAAACTAGAGAGGAGAAATTATGTAAGGAACAGAAAATGTAAGAAGCCCCAAAGCAAAGCATCTCGCATTACCCATGCAGGGGAAGGGAGAAAATCCAGCCTGGTATTGATTGGTGTCTGTCAAGTACTGAAGAACAATGGCCGTGCTCCATGTCCAGGCGGGCACTGCACCAAAGCACGGATCAATGAGGACGTCAATACCACAGGAATTGCTTTGCAGCCATGGCAACTGGGAAGACAGGAATTAAGAGCGGTTGCTAGATGGCTCCTAACTTCTAAGCTGCTACAACTTGCTGGATGGATTTCGGGGGTAGCGAGAGGGGGAGAGAGAGAGAGATCTGGAACAAATTAAAATAACCCTTTGATGATCAGTCTGATTTACGGCTTTCGGGATGTCAGCGGGGGGGGGGGGGGTCATTTACATGAAGATTTTGGGCCCAAATGTTTCCCAAGTGATTTGGGGTGAACTTGCTTTTTGTAGGGGGGAGCTCAACTTGGGCTCTGATTTCCAGCTGCCCTCTGCAAATCAAGCCCCACATCCTCAGAACTGATGGCAAAAGAAGGCTGTATGTGGGCAGAGACTGTCTCTTTGGGAATAGCTTACCTTACCTGATCACTCTCGTTACAGTGTGTATGGTAACACCCATTGTTTCATGTTCTCTGTGTATATAAATCTCCCCACTGTATTTTCCACTGAATGCCTCTGATGAAGTGGGCTGTAGCTCACGAAAGCTTATGCTCAAATAAATTGGTTAGTCTCTAAGGTGCCACAAGTCCTCCTTTCATTTTTGCGAATGCAGACTAACCCGGCTGCTACTCTGAAACCTCTCTTTGTTCTGCGTTTGTACGCTGCCGAGCACCCTGAGGTGCCCCAGGGCAGTGACTGGCCGGCGCTCCCAGGCGATACCGTAATACACGTAGTCGCTTGTATCCATACGGATAGTTTCAATTAACTGCTTGGAAATGGAGCCCGCGGCTGGGGGCGGATGAATAAAACTGGAAAAGCGTCTCCGTGGCCATCGGGAGCTGACCGGGAGAGAGTTTGGGTTGTGGAACCGGCTCGAACTGGCTTTTTAAATAAAATCAACCTGATCTCATTTCAAATGAGCCGTGGCTTTTTCTGACTCCCTTCTCTCTGGGACGAGGGTCAGTTCTAAAGAGGCGCCTTTGAGGAGCGGGGCAAGAGACTTTCCAGGCTGCAAGCTGCTCAGGCCCAGATCCTCAAAGGGGTTTAGGAGCCTAGCTCCCCTTGATTTTGGTGGGAATTAGGAGCCGAAGTCTCTAGCACTGAGATATCGTAGTCATGGGAGTATCATTGGGCAGCCTGACCCTGTTCAATTAGCCTGGCCTGTGCCATAATTAGCAGCCTCCCAGCCTGCGGGGGTGGGAGTAATGGGGTCAGATGGCAGCCTGAGGAACACCTGGGCCTTATAAGAGGGCTCAGCCAGCTGCAGGGAACCACCTGGGTGTCTGTGAGGGCCTGAGCTAGGGGCTGCAGGTCACGGTGAGAGGGGCTCCAGGGAAAGCAGCCGGGGGGGGGTCAACACTCTGTAACAGAGCAGGGAAAGACTTAAAGGTAGCCCAGGGGAGTGAAGAGTATCCCCGGAGGGAGAGAAGAACCGGCTGTTTGTCCGGACGCTCATTACCCTGGAAATGGTTACGTTTATTGAGTGGCTGGGCCGCAGGGCTAAGCAGCCACATCAACCCTGAACTGTGTGGGGATCGCTGAGGGGGAGTGACTGCAGTGCCAAGTGACCCCAGAAGGGAGTGTAATGGAGGGACCATGTATGGGACAGGGGGCCCCAGAAGTACCTTGATAGACCAGCCCTGACCCTGAAAAGTGTGGAGCAGCTGTAATTCGTTACAAAGGGAAGGGGGTGTTCTGGGACTTCTGATGGGGCAGGATCAGGCCCCCGGGGAGAGGAGGGAGACCAGGATAGGGCCCCGCTCAGCTCCCTGGGTGGAGGAGAAGGGGAGAGGAGAAGTGCCTGGCTGCAGCAAGCTGAGCAATGTAGCTCATGCCACTCGTGTGAGATCCCGCTTTTGTGTAGCGACCATGCAAGGAAGTCATTGGCACCCAGTTTTAAAGTCTTCAAGGTGCAAGGGCTTTTCGGCTGTCCAGCTGCCAGAGCTGGCTGTCTGAGAGGCAGTGCGGCTCAGGGGATAAAGCATTGGCTTGGACTGGGCAAGCCTGACTTCTATTCCTGGCTCTGCCACTGGTCTGCTGGGTGATCTTGGGCAAGTCACTTCCCTTTCTTGTGCCTCAGTTTCCCCATCTGTGAAATGCGGCTAATGCTACTGACCCGGTTCGTAAAGCTACTGATGAAAAGCAGATGATGTAGAAGAGCAAGGTATTAGCCCCAGCTGTTAAGTTAGCGGCTGCACTGCATCCAGGGGCACTGCCTGGGCATCGCATTCCCCCAGCACGTGCGACGTAACCGACGTCAGCTCACTCGCTCCTACCCCGGCACTCCAGAGCTGCATGGGCTAGTTTGTGTGTGTGTATGTGTGTGCACGCACACGCCAGATGGGTGAACCTCCCACTACGAGTATTGATTGGGGCTGCATTGATCCATAGGAAGAAGAGGGATGGGGGTGGGGGGGGAATCAATGACACTTGTTTCTCTGGGTCACACATGCACCATCCAGGAGCTACTTTAATTTGGCGGGGGGGTGGGGGGATCTGTGCTAGGTGTGGGCTTCCGTGAGCCGAGATGAAAAGGCTGCTTCTGCTTGGGGATATCCTGTTTATATCCCGCCGAGCTGTACTGTTCTCTGGCTCGGTCATCTGCCTGTCATTGTCCCATCATCAGCCAGGCCAGCAGGCAGCAAGGAACTGGACTCCTAGCAATATGGTGAGTGAGTTATTTTGGAGGGCAAGCGGGGTGCATGGGGGAGGAAGAGGGGGCAGTCTGATGACGGGGGGAGCAAGGGCCACTATATACAAAGGAGAGCACCCTGAGATTCGACCTTCAGATTTCCCACGTCCAAAACAGCTTCATCAGGGCCAGGCCAGCGGCTGGGCCCATGTGCTGCAGGGATCTATGTTGGTTATTTCGGTAGCGGGTGCTCTTTGCTCTGAGTGGGCACCTGGACCTATCACCCTGCATGGTGCAAGGGGGCGCTGTGCTGCCGGAAGCATCCTTGGTCAGAGGAGACTGAATGGCTTGTGCTGATTATAACCCCTGTCCTGCCTCTTGTAGGAAAGGGGATTTGAGCCCAGTTAGGGGGTATGGGATTCATTACATTCTGCATCCCCCTAATTCCCCCTGCTGTACCAATTGCCTGTGGTATTCTGCTTACATGGTTCTTACTGTGTGGCTGTGAAGCAGCTGTTGCGTTCCATCCCAGGGGTGGCTGCATTTCAGTGCTGGGTGAACTTTCCCGTGAGGCATTGCTGTGCCCTGTAAAGCAGCGGTTGCATTTCATCCCAGGGGTGGCTGCATTTCAGTGCTGGGTGAACTTTCCCGTGTGGCATTGTTGTGCCCTGTAAAGCAGCCGTTGCATTTCATCCCAGGGGTGGCTGCATTTCAGGGCTGGGCAAATGCTCCCTGTTTCACGTTGCTGTGCCCTGTGAAGTCCCATGCCAGAGGTGGCCGCATCCCTGCAGTGAGCAAAGTGATCTCTGCATGCGCAATGTTTGTGTAGTTCTAACAGGTGGAAGCTTTATTCCTCGCCTCCGCTATGGAACCACTCCCATGCTATTGGTACTGAGGTTCAACACAATTATGTTGTAACACATCTTGGTCTTTATCACCTTCCCCCATTGCACAATGGCTTCCAGACAATGCAGATTTCCCATACGAGCAATAAGACAGGCAGCTGGGATCCAAATAGTCACTTGAACTTTACCTTTGGTGTAGCCAATGCAGGAGAAAAGTAGCAGAGGGGAGGGGGCCAGTGGGGGAAGAATAGTCATCCCGAATAAACAGAGTCTGATATTGATTTAGGCCTATGGTCAGAGAGAAGAATATGCCAGCACAGCAGAACCCTGAGTGGACAGAATATGTTGGCTTGTCTGATCAATAGCTCAATACATCAGGAGTAACCATGGAAACACGTGGGCAGGAGCGGAAGTGGGGAAAATCAGCCAATCTTTAAGAAACTTTTGTTGGCTATCAGGGCTGTGAATTTCTAATGAAGCGCAGCCAGGTGACGGAGAGAGATGGGGTAGGCAGAAGATACACGATGGGATGGGAGAGCATACAGGTTTCATCTCCTGGGGCCTGTGATATGTGCTTTACCTGTGTTGTGATATGTAGAATCCCAGATCTCCTTAACAGGAAGCGCTTATTAAAGAAAAGACCTACAAAGTACAGGCGCACGCACACACTAAATACATAAAAATTCAGGTTTCTACCCAGCTTGTGTTCCAGCTCTGTTACATTTGTTTACCAGGGACTACACTCTACACAGTACATGGAGCCATCTAGTGACTGAATAATATACTGCACGTAAACAGATCATTACAATCCTGAGTACACTCTGATAAAATTTTCAATCTGCCGCCATGGATTTGCCATGGATTTTGCAGAAAGGTGGTTAGAGACTTATTTTTTTTAAAGTGGCTCTTGGCACTATTTTTTCCTCATCTTTCCACCTAAGTTTCTTGAGCACCATAAGCCAAATATCGCTGGGCCTGTTGGCGCTTCCATTGGGAAACTGGACCTTTCCCTATGCTAGAACACACCTGTGTCAGTGCAATGCCTCACATATGCTAGAATCTGACCCATCCGCAGCCAGGGTCATTGTGAGGAGAATTTCCACATTTGGAAAAGGGCAATATTTTTTTCTGGCAGGTGACTTTTTAAACGGCTGCTCTGGAAGCTGCTGAGAGATTTGCAATGTTAAAAGCGGGGATGCAAGAGAGGGCACATGCAGGGGCAAGGAGTCAAAGACACACAATATATGAGTGCAGAGCCGTGTGGTGGAAGTTATTGCACAGCTCTCACCTGCAATGATGCATCTAAACCACAGGAGCCAGAGCTGGGAAACACCTGTCGGATCATCCTGTCCCATATCCCTGCCGGGATGTACTGAGCAGGTGCTCTGTCTGGCTTGACATCTGTGTAGCATGCACATAGGTGTGGGAGACAGGAAATGCCCTTGATACTTTGGTTGCTCGTGACTTTTGCACAGTATGGACCAGATTTTTCCAAAGCGCTTCAGGTCAGATTTTTCAAAGGCTGGGGCAGGGGGGTGGGGTGCAGGAGGGGGTCGGGGGGGCAGCGCTTACCTCGGGCGGTGCGGCTCCCAAAGCGACTGACACACACACCCCTCCGGCAGTGGTTCCTAGGCGGGGGGGGCTCCACACACCACAACCCGCAGGTGCCACCCCCGCAGCCCCCATTGGCCACAGGTCCCGGCCAATGGGAGCTGTGGAGTTGGTGCTCAGG